TGAGATTCTCCCCCAGCGCTTATAATAATAATAATAATAATCCTTGCATTTGATATAGCGCTTTTCACGTCGGGAGGATGTCCCAAAGCGCTTCACAGAACACACTGTAAAGTGAATTGACTGTATATTTGTGGGCGAACGCGGCAGCCAATTGCGCACAGCAATGTCCCACAAACATTCGTAGATTGAAAATGACCAATTTAATTATTGTTTTTAGTTTTGGAGGGATTATTATTAGGCGTGTGGAGTAAGGAAACTTGCCCAAGGTTTCGCCCTGCCTGGAATTGAACTCAGGTCTCTCACTTGCAAAGCGAGTGCTCTAACCACTGAGCTACAGAACTCCACAAACCTCGTTTCTTGAATGGTGGGTGTGTCAGTATCTGCCTGGCTCACAGGGTCCGCTACTACGCAAGTCTCAATGTGAAGGAAAACAAAAAGACTTGCACGAATGCGATAGCAAAATTAAAACAAGACATGAAAACTTTATTGAACAAGACTCAAATGTTTTAGAACAACAAAATAAAACTCTATCCAGGCCTGTTATGAATGTTATCCTCTAGTCGTCAGCGTACTCAAAGGCCCTGCTCAGATATGAGTAAGGCTGAAAAAAAAGCATGGCTTGGTAACAAATAAATTACACACTTCATTGCAATCCACATTCCTACTACTTCGTTTACATATTCTATTTGAAACATGTTTAGTGTTGAAGAGGGAGTATGGCAAAAGCTAATGGGACAGGTGATCCAACTGGGAGCTGTGAGGCAGATCATTTATAATAAGTCTATTGTAACTATCATTAGTATAACAAGATAACAGGGTAATTCCATGGACCACGTTTTCGGTCATCTTTTCCCCTCTCCATTCCACCGGCTCCCACCACCAGCTCAGATGTGCAGCTGACAGTGTCAAAATGTCCTTTCAAAATTGCCGTTGACATATAATACAATAACAAATTCAAAACATTCAACTCATAATGTATGCAAACTATGAAATGCAAACCACTCAAGTAAAAATGAAGCGCTCTTAATGATAGAAAATTATCAAACATAGAAACAATAGGGTCAAAAAAATTAAAAAACATGGAATATATTTTAAAAAGTAGTCATCAGTTTTCAGTAATCAGGATGAACTACACTAATTTGATGAAACCCATCAGCTTACAAAAGACAGCTGATGCACAGTGCTTTTCATTTAATAAGGTCACAGCAGTAAGAATTCATTAGTACTGAATTGGTGCTAGGGAAACTGTTAGCACTAAAAAGTGACAAATCCCCTGGTCCAGATGGCTTGCATCCCAGGGTTTTAAAAGAGGTAGCTTATGAGATAGTGGAGGCCTTGTGTCTGATCTTCCAAAATTCCTTGGATTCTGGAACAGTCCCCATGGATTGGAAGATTGCAAATGTCACACCATTATTTAAAAAAGGTGAAAAGGAAAAGATGGGGAACTATAGGCCAGTTAGTCTCACATCAGTGATAGGAAAATTTTTTAGAATCATTGATTAAGGATGTGGTAGGGCGGTATTTAGGTGAGTACAATATAATTAGGCCAAGTCAACATGGCTTTACAAAAGGGAAGTCATGTTTGCCAAATCTCATAGAATGTTTTGAGGATATTTCCAGTAAACTAGATAAGGGTGAATCAGTGGATGTGGTCTATTTAGACTTCCAGAAGGTATTCGATAAGGTGCTGCATAAAAGGTTAGTCCAAAAGATAAGGGCCCATGGAATTGGGGGGAGCATATTAATTGGCGGGATGTGACTAGTGGAGTGCCACAAGGATCAGTCCTTGGGCCTCAGCTATTTACCATCTACATCAACGATCTAGATGAGGACATCAAAGTTAATAAATCTAAATTCGCGGATGACACGAAACTAGGAGGAAGAGTCAACACAAAGGATGACATTAAAAAAATGCAGCGAGACATAGATAGGTTAGGTGATTGGGCAGGTAGGTGGCAGATGAAGTATAATGTAGGGAAGTGCGAAGTCATCCACCTAGGTAGCAAAAACAGTAGAGCGGGTTATTTTTTAGAAGGGGAGAGATTGGAATGTGTTAGCGTCCAGAGGGACTTGGGTGTCCTTGTACACCAATCACAGAAAGTTAGTCTGCAGGTGCAGGAAACAATTAGGAAGGCGAACGGTATGTTAGCATTCATTATGAAAGGATTAGAGTATATGAATAGGGAAGTCTTGCTGCAACTGTATAGGGCTCTGGTGAGACCACACCTGGAATACTGTGTGCAGTTTTGGTCCTCATTTAAGGAAGGATGTACTTGCCTTGGACGGAGTGCAGCGTAGATTTTCTAGGTTAGTACCAGGGATGAAGGGGATGAGTTACGAGGATAGGCTGACCAATTTGGGCCTATATTCTCTAGAATATAGAAGAATTAGAGGGGATCTTATAGAAACCTATAAGATCATCAAAGGGCATGATAGAGTAGATAGTGGGAGATTGTTTCCCCTGGTTGGAGAAACTAAAACCAGGGGTCACAACCTTAAAATCAGAGGCCAGCCCTTTCGCACTGATTTGAGGAAGAACTTCTTCACTCAAAGGGTGGTGAATGTATGGAACTCACTACCCCAAAGGGCTGTTGACGCTCAGTCCTTGAACATATTCAAGACTGAGATGGATAGATTTCTTATTGCAAAAGGGATTAAGGGATATGGGGACAAGGCAGTGTCAGGTTATTAGCTGGAGTTAGATTAGAAGATCAGCCATGATTGAATGGCGGGGCAGGTTCGAAGGGCCGAATGGCCTACTCCTGCTCCTACATGTTATGTTATGTTAAAATGGTGGGGTAGAGTTCAAGCCTTCAGTAGAGGGCTTTGACCACTCTGTTTGCTTCTGTCACTGGAATCTATTTTTCTTAGACGAAAGGAAGAGAAATAATTAATTGTCTCTGGAAGAACGCACATGGTATATTCTGAAAGTTAGACTTCGTAAGGATTGAGACTCAGGGATTTTTTTATAGAACAGGAGGAAAGAGTTTCCAAGTAAGAGAAAAGCTGACCTACCCATCTTTGTCTTCTTCTTCACACTAATTACTAGTAAGAGATTTACAACTCACTTTGATCCAGCAGAAATATAACATTTAGCTCTGTAAATGAAAACAAACATGTCCCCAGAGTGCTTTTGCCTATGGGCATAAGGGCACGGATATGCTTCTTGCTGCAATAGGGCTCATTGATACAGGTTATGGGCAAGTCAATACTCTGATCACTCGACTGAAACAAAACTCAAAGTGGTGAGCAGCTTTCATGCTTCATGATCTAAATCGTTAAAATATATAATGTATATTGTGGAGCCCTGTAGCGTAGTGGTTAGTGCGCTCGCCTCGCAAGCAAGAAGACCTGGGTTCAATTTCCGGCGGGGTGAAACTTTGGGCATTTTTCCTTCCTCCGCACTCCTCTGTTTAACTAGCAGTAAGTAGAAACCCGGTTGTTAGTCGATTGGTGGATCGCTTCCCGGGGGTAATAATCCCTTAAAAAAAACAGTAATAATAATAATTTGGTTAATCGATCCACGACTGTTTGTCAATCCACTTTACAGTATATTGTGTGAAGCGTTTTGATGCGCCTTGAAGACGTGATAAGGCGCTGTATCAAATGCAAGGATTATTATAAATATATCCAGTGAATGTGTGATCATTCTCATCCAAGAACTTCTCTTTTTTAAAATTAAGCCACAAATCAAAATAACAATCCATGTAATATGCTTCACATATTGAGTCTGAGAGTGCCAGGATTTTTTCTTTGAAGCATTCTTTCCTTTCTTCCCTCCCCTGCTCCACATAAAATCGCCAGATGTTTATGGAAGTGAAGATGATTTGAGTTCAAAGTACAGGATATTAAGTTAACACTGAAATAAAGCCAAGTCATGTCACCTCACCGTTTCCTCTCTATACATATGGAAAATGTCAAATATTTCATGTCCATTTAGAAAAGACAAGACTTGTCAAGAGGCTAAATAAAAGAGCTTTTTACAGAACAGATGGGCAATTGATGTGGCAGGAGCCTTCAAATAATGCTGAAAGATAATGCAAATGGGCACAAACCAGCCTTCAATGCCAGGAGGGGAGGTGGGGGGGTGGGTGGAAGAATGGGACCAAAGGTATATTGAGACCCATCTCAAGACCCTCCTCTTTCACTGTGCTTTCGATTACCCTCCTTCCGCCCCTGCCCTCCACTGTCCCCAATCCCAAATCCTAGCTCAGTCCGAAACATTTACCGTCCAGCGCCTTGGGACGTCCTCCCAACATAAAAGGCGTTATACAAATGTAATTTTGTTGTTGTTCTCTGCCTGGAGTCAACTGTTCTTTATTGCGTACAAATACAGTCACTAACTACACTTTACTGTAAAAATAGTCTTTTTAGGTGTTTCAACTGCATGATAGGGTCAGGTTATATAAAATTCAAGGCTTATTTATTTACCAAAGTCTTACCCGGAACCTCAGAGAGTTAACCCGTTTTATACATTTAACTCGTTCAATCGTAGCATTTGGACTAAACCCATAAATGGAGAGGACTTTTCGGTTTGTATGTACCTCACGACTAATACACATGGGGAAAAAAAGGCTCATTCTTAAATTCCTTTTATCGGATTCAACATTCAAAATCTACCCAAAAAAGTATTTTTGGAGGTATTATGAAAGATAAGATTATGGACAGCCAAACAGGTACGGAGTCTAAATAGTGGCAATAGATCCACTGGAACTTGCCTCCGTACTTGTGCTCTCCGTACTTTCACCAGTGAAAAAAAAGCACAGGGGTGCGGCTACTAATCTTGAGTAACCCATTACTGAGTGCCAAAATCTGGAACTCTCTCCCCCAAAAGGCTGTGAATGCTGGATCCATTCACATTTTCAAGACTGAGGTGAATAGATACGTGTTAGGTCAGGGTTCTAAGGGATTTGGGGCAAGGGCGGGTAACTGGACTTGATCAGCCATGATCGTATAAAATGGTAGAACAGGCTCGAGGGGCTGAATAGCCTACTCCTGTTTCTATGTTTCTGTGAGTGCATGTCAGTGGAAAGCTGAACTGGGCTCACTTCTAATATCAGTGTAGTCACCTGCCCTGACAACTGTGCCTGCTTACGGGTTTCCAAAGTGAAGAAATAGGCACTTGGTTGCAGGGTTAGAGGGTTGGTGTCCCTGCAAAGCTGTAACCTAGTGTTATCAGCAGGGGAGACAATTGTGTCTTGCGCAGGGGGAGTGGGGAAAAACAAGGCTTTTGTCTTTTGATATACAGAGCTCAAGGCACAGAAGAACAATCTATCAAAGGTACAATTGATTTGTTTGGAAAAGCCATCAATTTGTGACCTAAGTCAGACAGACAGTCAACCAGACTCTGCTTGCTACAAACTGGAGTCCTTTGGACTCTCTCCCAGAAAGGTTACCATCTCCCCGTTGCTCTTCCCCAGCTCACTCTTCTGGATCGAGGCTCTGTACAGGGCATTGTCCACCATGGGAACGGTCCCTACACTGTCCTCTGGGCCCGGGCGGCTGCGACGTGCTGGAGGAGTGGGTGCTATGTCTCCCATGGGGCCGGTGAAAGGCTGGTACACGTCCACCTCTGGAATGGAGTCCATCCTCAAGGTATTGAAGCGCGGCCCATAAATTTGGTTTTCATCGATCACGGCATAGATGTGCGAATCATTGTCCTTCCTGCCCTTCCCAAACTTCCACCTCCGTCCAGGCACATTCGCATTCACTCCGGGATTGTAGATGCCAACAGGAGTCTGATGTTGCCTTCTTTTCCTATGTAAATTTAGGGTTTAAAACCAACAAAAGGGGTTGTTAATAATCGATATTATATGAAAGCTCCTAATAATAATAATAAACTTTGCATTTGATATAGTGCCTTATCACGTAGTTGAGACGACTCAAAGGGCTTCATAGAATATATTGTAAAGTGGATTGACTGCGTATTTTGTGGGTGAAACATGTGCCTTTTTGCACACGTTAACATTTGAAAAATTCAATACAACAACAGCAGCAACAAAAAATAACTAGCAGTTATAAATCTCTCTTCACGTAGGGTAGTGTCTCGGAGCGCTGAAATACACAAAGCTTCTGGAAGAAATTCTAAAGGGGGAGGTTGCTATACGTGCCAGGCAAATACTCAGTAATTTAATACATACATCAGGCTGTTCGGAGTGTAATAATTGGCAGTGGAGGGTAAGAAATTTATAACACAGGAGCACAGACCCTGACTGTTTAACCCCATTCTCCTGGTGTTTCCTTATTAGCATTTATACTTCTGAAGGGATGTGATTGTAGAATCACAGAATATTACAGCACAGAAACAAGCCATTCTTCATATGAACTACTAGATCTAATCCCACCCTCCTGCTCATTCCCCATATCCCTCAAGCATCTGCTGAGCATATTGACTGTGCAGTCCACGAGTCTATGACCCGTATCCTCACTCGGATCCACTGGCTCCCCATTCCCCATAGGATCGAGCTCATGGTCCTCGTTCTCACCTTTAAATTCTTCCCAGTCTTGCCCCGCCCTGCCACTGTATTCCTCAAGATATCCTCCCAATGTAAGGCGCGATATAAATGTAAATTGTCTTGTACAGATCACTAGAGCAGACAGCAGGCAGCAGCAGGTTGCTCCTACCAAACCTTACCATCCAAGCCACTCGCTTCGCTCAGCAAGCTTCTTATCCCCCGCACTATCTGCCTCACCATCGGAGAGTGGGCTTTCAGCCATTCTGCCACTCTCTTTGGTACTCCATCCCAGAGGCCCTCTGACTCGCTCACTCCCTCCCCTCTTTAAAGGTACATAGCAGGGGAACATTGCTATATGCAGCAAGACTAAACTTAGTGATTTCACATAATTTACCAGATATATGACTGCATTCTTGACCATCATTCTGTGAAGAATATATTTTGTGAAGCGCTTTGAGATGTCTCAATGACGTGATAAAGCACTACACCAAATCCAATGAGTCATTATTATATATTATTATTATAATTATCATTCCCCTCCCTAACCCCTCAGCTCCCACATCCAGCTCGGGTGCCCAGCCATGTCTGTGAAACACCTCAAGATATCCTCCCAATGTGAAAGGCGCAATATAAATGTAAATTGCATTGTACAGATCACTCTGGAGCAGACAGTAGGTTGCTACAACACACTGGTGACTTTACCAGGATCTATAAATGTAATTTTGTTGTTGTTGTTTCAAAATATAGAGTCAGCCAGTCAGCGGCACGAGAGCGAGGGCCGGGGCGAGGAGAGCAGTCAGTCAGTCAGGAGCAGAGGAAAAAAAAGTGAGAAAATTAAAAAGTGACATCAGAGCGACGTCAGTATCAACAGACTAACAGTGAACTATCAACTATCACTATCAACACATCACACACCTCGGATTTAACTTGATCAATTTACCTTGATTGATTTAACTTAATTTGATCAACTTAATTGGATCAACTTGATTAAATTAAAACTTAATTAACTTAACTAACTAACTCAAGTTGGAAGAGGTGACAATGGCCTGGCAGGTGTTGTGTGAGGAGTGTGACATGTGGGAGCTGACGAAGGGCAGTCTGACCCGGGTGACCACATCTGCAGAAGATGTCTGCAACTGGGGCAGCTCCAGCTCAGAGTGGCTAAGTTGGAATCCGATGTGCAAACACTACGGAGTATCAGAGACAGTGAGTGCTTCCTGGATAGCTACATCCTGGAGCTAGTCACTCCCCTGAGGGAATTATACGGTCCACATTGGTTATGGACAGGATAGGTCAATGGACAGTCAGGAAGTCAGGGGGACAAAGGAAAGAGTGGTAGTAAATCCGGCATTAACCTTGAGCAACAGGTATGAGATCCTTGGAACTTGTCTCGACAAGGAAGCCGGTGAGGTGGAAGGAAAAACCACCTCTAACACTGGGGCAAACGAGCGGATGGTTGTCGTCATTGGGGATGAGACTATTAGACAGACAGACACAATCATCTGCAACACCAACCAGAAGACCCAAAGGCTTTGTTGCCTCCCGGGGCCGGGTGAAGATGTCTTGGCAGGGCTAGAGGATAATTTAAAATATGAGGGCAAGGATCCATTGGTGATACTTCACAAAGGTACCAATGACATCGGTAGAGTTGGCCAAGATGACTTGAGAAGGGAATTCGAAGAGCTGGGGTCCAAATTGAAGTCAAGATCATCGAAGGTGGTAATATCGGGACTACTGCCTGTACCATACAACAATTGGTACAGGGACAAACAAATTAAGGACTTGAACGCATGGCTAAAAGAGTGGTGCAGAACTCAGGGGTTTCTTTTTATGGGCCATTGGCATGAGTATTGGAGGAAAAGAGAGCTCTTTCAGAGAAATGGGCTGCATTTATATTGGGCTGGGACAAATGTCATAGCTAAACGAATTAACAGGGAGATAAATAGGAATTTAAACTAGTAAAGGGGGGGGAATATATAGGTAAGAGAAACCATAAGTTAGCATTAGAAAAAGTAAAGATGATAGTGCAGAACAGCATGCCAGATAATAGGAATATGTTAACGAGAGGTAAGAAGCTTGGCAAAGTAGATAAGGAATCAGAGAGTAGAGGAAATGGTAGGAAATTAAAAATATTTTATCTGAAAGAGCAAAGCATTCAGAATAAAACTGATTAACTAAAAGCACAGATAGACACATATGGGTACGGTCTAGTAGCCATCACTGAAACATGGTTACAAGGAGATCTAGGGTAGGAGTTAAATATTCCAGGGTTCTCAGTTTACAGGAAAGATAGGCACTGTGGGAAAAGAGGTGGGGGGGTAGCCCTGTTAATTAGGGATGAAATAAAAGCAGTGGAGAGGAAGGATCTGAAATCCGATGACCAGGAGGTCGAGACAATATGGGTGGAAATAAAAATAATAAAGGGCAGAAAATATTAATGGGAGTGGTTTATAGACCCCCAAACAGTGATCACAATATAGCACAAGATATTAATCAAGAAATCAGTGGAGCATGGAGGAAAGGGAAAGTGATAATAGTGGGTGATTTCAATCTCCACATAGATTGGGAAAACCAAATTGGCAAAAGTAGGTTAGAAGAAGAGTTTGTTGAGTGTGTGAGAGATAACTTTCTAGAGCAGCAAGCCGAGGAACCAACTAGGGGACAGGCCATCCTAGTTTTGTGTAATGAAACAGGGCTAGTTGACAGTGTAGGTATTAAGAAACCTCCAGGGCAGAGTGATCACAATATGATTGAATTCTGCATTAAGTTACAGAGGGACATAGTTAAATCCGAGGCAAGTATTCTGAATTTAAATAGGGCTAATTTTGTAGGTATGAGGAAAGATTTAGATAAAATAGACTGGAGAATAAGAGGTAAAAATGTAGACCAACAGTAGCAAATATTTAAGGATGTAGTGCAAAATTCTCAGCGGACGCATATTTCCTTGCGGAATAAGAGTACCGCAGGGAAAGCAATTCATCCGTGGCTAACTAGAGCAGTTAGGGAAAGCATCAAATTAAAAGAAAAAGCTTATAAAACTGCCAAGAAAAGCAGCAAATCTGAAGATTGGGAGAGTTTTAGAAACCAGCAAAAAAAAACTAAAAAACTCATTAAGAGCGAGAAAAAGGAGTATGAGGGTAAGCTAGCTAGGAACATTAAGTCTGATTGTAAAAGTTTTTACAAATACATCAAGAGGAATAGGCTACTGAGGGTAGATGTAGGTCCACTTCAGTCAGAGATGGGAGAAGTTGTAATGGGGGCATGGCAGAGTCCCTAAATGTGTACTTTTCATCTGTCTTCACCCTAGAAGACACAACAAGTCTGCCAACAATAGAGATGCACCAAAGGGATAAGGACAGGGAGCAACTTAGGGAAATTTTCATTAGTAGAGAATTGGTGCTAGGGAAACTGTTAGCACTAAAAAGTGACAAATCCCCTGGTCCGGATGGCTTGCATCCCAGGGTTTTAAAAGAGGTAGCTTATGAGATAGTGGAGGCCTTGTGTCTGATCTTCCAAAATTCCTTGGATTCTGGAACAGTCCCCATGGATTGGAAGATCGCAAATGTCACACCACTATTTAAAAAAGGTGGAAAGGAAAAGATGGGGAACTATAGGCCAGTTAGTCTCACATCAGTGATAGGAAAAATTTTAGAATCATTGATTAAGGATGTGGTAGTGCGGTATTTAGGGAGCACAATATAATTAGGCCAAGTCAACATTGCTTTACAAAAGGGAAGTCATGTTTGCCAAATCTCATAGAATGTTTTGAGGATATTTCCAGTAAACTAGATAAGGGTGAATCAGTGGATGTGGTCTATTTGGACTTCCAGAAGGCATTCGATAAGGTGCCGCATAAAAGGTTAGTCCAAAAGATAAGGGCCCATGGAATTGGGGGGAGCATATTAACGTGGATTTCCTACCGGTTAATGGTTAACGGGTAGGAAACAAATAGGGATAAGCGAGTCCTTTTCAGATTGGCGGGATGTGACTAGTGGAGTGCCACAAGGATCAGTCCTTGGGCCTCAGCTATTTACCATCTACATCAACGATCTAGATGAGGACATCAAAGTTAATAAATCTAAATTCACGGATGACACAAAGCTAGGAGGAAGTGTCAACACAGAGGATGACATTAAAAAAATGCAGCGAGACATAGATAGGTTAGGTGATTGGGCAGGTAGGTGGCAGATGAAGTATAATGTAGGGAAGTGCGAAGTCATCCACCTAGGTAGCAAAAACAGTAGAGCGGGTTATTTTTTAGAAGGGGAGAGATTGGAATGTGTTAGCGTCCAGAGGGACTTGGGTGTCCTTGTACACCAATCACAGAAAGTTAGTCTGCAGGTGCAGGAAACAATTAGGAAGGCGAACGGTATGTTAGCATTCATTATGAAAGGATTAGAGTATATGAATAGGGAAGTCTTGCTGCAACTGTATAGGGCCCTGGTGAGACCACACCTGGAATACTGTGTGCAGTTTTGGTCCTCATTTAAGGAGGGATGTACTTGCCTTGGAGGGAGTGCAGCGTAGATTTTCTAGGTTAGTACCAGGGATGAAGGGGATGAGTTACGAGGATAGGCTGACCAATTTGGGCCTATATTCTCTAGAATATAGAAGAATTAGAGGGGATCTTATAGAAACCTATAAGATCATCAAAGGGCATGATAGAGTAGATAGTGGGAGATTGTTTCCCCTGGTTGGAGAAACTAAAACCAGGGGTCACAACCTTAAAATCAGAGGCCAGCCCTTTCGCACTGAGTTGAGGAAGAACTTCTTCACTCAAAGGGTGGTGAATGTATGGAACTCACTACCCCAAAGGGCTGTTGACGCTCAGTCCTTGAACATATTCAAAACTGAGATAGATAGATTTCTTATTGCAAAAGGGATTAAGGGATATGGGGATAAGGCAGTGTCAGGTTATTAGCTGGAGTTAAGAAAATCAGCCATGATTGAATGGCGGGGCAGGCTCGAAGGGCCGAATGGCCTACTCCTGCTCCTACATGTTCTGTTATGTTATTATATACCGAGGAAAGCGTTCTCCCCGCTGGTTACAATGATAAGGATCTGCAGAGGAGCTAATTACCAACCACCAGGACCGTTAACCCATGAGGTATTAAGATTTGAAATGTAACATGTTGGACATTGATCTGATATACCTGTCAGATGCAAATGGTGGGACAGCTACCTGGAACCTTAGACTTACTGCTGGCATCTGAAGCATGAAATTCCTCAGCAGAAAGTCACAAACCTACAGCAGTTGAGTTAACTGTATTCCTTTTATAGCCATTGCAGTGTCCTGAATCCAGTAATAATAATACTTGCATTTGATATAGCGCCTCATCACATTGTTGAGACATCCCAAAGCACTTCACAGAATATACTGTAAAGTGGAGTGACTGTGTAATTTGTGGGTGAAATGTGCAGCCAATTGCGCACATCAATATACCACAGACAGCCATGAAGTCTGTGACCAATTTTATTTAGTTGGCCAGGACACTGGGAAAAACTCCCTTCTCTTTTTGAATAGTACCATAGGATCTTTAACATCCACCTGAAAAGGCAGGTGGGACCGCGGTTTAACCTATCATGCGAAGAACGGCACCTCTGATAATGCAACCCCCAGCCCTCCCGCACTGTATTGGGGTGTCAGCTTAAACTGTGTAATGTCGAGTGAGTCCTACATTCTGGAACGCTGGGTATGTCACATTAATATTACTGCTAGATTTGGTGCAGGGGTGAGTAATGGCTGGCACGGTGGGAAGAGGGAAGGCCCAACACTGAGTGAAGGTAAATAATGGGATTATGTGGGGGCAAGTGAGGACTGACACATTGGGGAGCAGGACAGGCTGGCATTGAGTGGGGGGCATTGAGACCGACATTAAAACATTCCAGGCACAGACTCAACCATCCTCCTGTTTGAAAGAAGAATGACAATAACATAAACAGCTGGGCTTGTGGCGTTGGGGATGACTAGGTGGTGTGAGGGGGGGAGGGGGGGGGAGAGACATACATACCGTCTTTTCACACAGCACACGACCACAAAAATTATGGTGAGCAGGGCCAGGCCTCCAATAACAGCAGCCACAATAATGATGATCTGTGTAATATCTGCAAGGGTATTAAAAAATTAATAAAAAAAGAATGTCCTGTAATTAAACGCGTTGTACATATGAAGCCCCGAGTCGTGTTTTCTCGCTGTACGTTATATGATACAACCATTGACGTAAGCTGAGTGCTTCCCTGGTTACTGACCTGAGGATTTAATAAGCAAGTGGGAGTAGGTAATAAAACTTTAAACACTGTGGTGGAAAAAGTACTTCAATGTGATAAACACGTGCACATAAAAAAAGTGGCCTCAGGACTCAATTTGTAGCTCCTGCAGGGAAACACCCATACGTCACACAAACTCGCCAGACCCTGTCTAAATACGCACACCTTACAGCAAAGGTTTCTGCCGAGTCATCAGCACAGACCACTTTCTAACCACACTTTCAATCATCTATCCCCTCCCCACCCTCATCAGCTCCCACCCCTAGCTCGGGTGCCGACCCAGCTGTATCAGGCCCTTTGAGATGTCCTCCCGATGTGAAACGCGCTATATAAATGTAAATTGTATTGTAATGTATCAGTAGCCAAGATAAAAAAGCCCCGTTGTATCTCGCAGTTTAAGATCCATAATATCAAACACTGGGCATGATGTCAAAATGGCTGCTGCAACAGCACAGCTTGTGTGCTGCACATGTGCACAGCTCAGGTCATTTCCTACATAAAATGGCCATTGCTAAGTCACCTCCACTAAAATGGTCACCATTTTTGTCACTTCCTGCATATAATAATTATGATCCATGCATTTGGTAAAGTGCCTGTCATCTCGGTCTGAAAGCACTTCACAGAATATACTTCACAGAATATACACAGAATATTTGCAGATAAATGAGGCAGCCCAATTTGCCCACAGCAATGTCCCATAAACAACTATGGCGTTAATGACCAAATTTGGGGGAATGTTGGCCAGGATACTGGCAGTAACTCACTTCTCTTTTCGAATAGTGCCATGGGAGCTTTAGCATTCCTTGTACTCCCTGTATAGCTGGGATCAGTGAGAGCCAGGGATCTAACTTGGGATCATGCAGCTGTCTAACATTTAATTCCTATAGTGGGCATTGCCTTCCCAAACTGCGGAGAGTTTATTTTCGGACAGACTAAGAAACGCTGCTCCTTACCTTCATTTGCTTTCACCACCACTTTAAATAGAATTTTGAAGCGTCCTCTCTCAGGCACGCAGTTGGACACATTAACCCAAAACGTCCCTAGCAGATTGACAGGGTTTGTTGGCAGGGTGTCAGTTTCTCTCCAGGTTGAGGTGTCAGTGTGCTCCATTTGCTCAATGATCGTAACACTAGTGTGTCCGATCTCACATTCTGGCATCGAGCTGCTCACAAAGGTTAATTCAGCTTTATGGTCAGCAGGGACGACAATATTCCATGATGCGGTTCCTTGGTGCGGCATTCCCAGTTCCCCGTTCGGTGTCAGGAGATAGACCGGGGAGTCGTCGGAAACTACATAGAAAATATAATTCTCTGGGGAAAGGACACAAGAACAAGACAAACAGTGATTAAATCACTGGAAAGATGAAGATCCATAATTCAGTGATTTACAACGTACCGCTTGATACCAAAACTCACTTACCAGTACGGCATTTAAAACAAGGCTGTCTGCTGTAACAATGGAATAGGGTGGTAGGATTAAAAAGAGCAACAGTGCATTGTATCAAGAGGAAATAACAACAGATGGATACTTAGTGAAGAATTCAATTGAGGGATTAGAGAGATGGAGTAAAAGATATGCTTTATTATATTTTATTTATTACCAATGTTCTGTACTTTTAAATATCGGGACTGGACAGATGTACATTCCTTTGTTCACTTTACTGTAGACACATGCTACATTCTCTTCAATTTACTATAGCCACCTGCTGGGACATCAGTCAGATCAGTCAGTGACAAAACACAAATGCTTTGTGATGCACAATCTGCCGAGAAAGGGTGCAGACACGGATGGAGGCCATTCTGCCATTAGCTTCCAGCCCTTACAATAGAGCCCTGGGAAAAGGTGCAGTAGTTGAGGTCCATAAAATCCCAACGGGTCGCAGTCAATGCATTTGCATTCATTTCCTGCAGTGGCCTGATGTCTCAGAAGTTGGCTATTTTTTACCACAAGAAGCTGTCCAGTACCATATGGTAAGGTTCTATCCCAATTCCCTGGACCCTCCCCATATCCTCTTATATTCTTCCTCTTAAAATATTATTCCCTTTCCAATGCTATAGGTTCCCTACAACAGCCTCTTGTTGAGAAGCATTTCATGTTGTCATAACCAAGCCTCTGCTTTTTCTAACCTCACTATTAATTCATTCAACATCAATCCTGAGCCTATCTTCTCAGTCAGCATTGCCTAGATGATCTCAGTGTAACAGTTACCTGTAATGGCCGGAACGAAGGACAGGCTAATGTCCAGATCACCGATTTTCCACCCACTGGATGTCCTCACTTCCAATTCAACACTGTCAATCATCTGGATCTTCTCAATCGCTCCACTGGGGCAGAATGTGCCCACAATAGAGTTACTGTGATCCTTGCAGAAAGTGCTGATGTGGTACATTACATTGGTGGTGCAGGTCCTGCCTGGAAGAGACTGCTTCAGTTTCAGCCTGTTGGAGACCAGCTCTATCGTGGTGCCGTGCGGGGCATTAAGCACCCATTTGAAGATCTGCTGATCAACAGGCAGGTTGGCAAGGGCAGAAGGCAGACTCAAACTCATGTTTTTCACTTGGCACATTTCCAGCTCAGTGCAGGCTTCATGGGAAAAGGAAGAGATAAGCAAGAGATTAAACACAACTCTTTCTCTCAGTCAATAAACTGCATTTAAGGATTCTGTACACTTATTGGGATTCAGTTTCCCATTCCTCCCAGAGCAATATTTCCCATGCAATTTCCACGTAGCTATACTGTTGCGAGTGGCTGGTGACTGGGGAGAGAGGTGCTGCATTCTCATGATGAAGCAGTGAACAGACTGCCAGTTTTTTTCTCATTTCTAAAGTTACTTCAGGACAAACCTTTCAATATTCTTTCAGAAAGTGTGTTTATTAACAAAAGTTTGGAGTGAAAAAGATGCTGTGTGAATACAGGTGTTTACACCAAAGGTGCAGTCTTTCACGGTCCACCAAAGAGGCAGGTCTTGAGATGCATTTTGAAAGAGGTGAAGGAGACAGTCGGAGAAAGTCGGAATGATTCTGGGATGGAGTTCCAGAAAGTTGAGAAAGATAAAAATGGATTAAAAAATTAATGGATTTGAACACGAGCGTGAGGATCTTGAAGTCGAATAAAAAGTAATAAGTAAAAAGACGAAACCAAACATATGTTATTTCTAAACATATGTTATTTCTGAAATTGGATGTGTAAATGCTGGTTGAGGACAGAATTAGAGCTTAATTACAATGCCCTCCCCACTCCCGCCCCATGGGCATACGGTCTCACCATCTCAGTTTACACATGCAAAACAGTCACTGGGACACTAGCACCTGTGGGATCAAAGTGCAGGTCGAACCCATTTCCACAGGAAAGGAGGTGAAAAATTATTAGGATTCTTTAAGGAACTGTTTGTAAGAATCATGAAACAAAACAATACCAGCCTAGGTTCTGAAGCATAAATCTACTCTAATCCTGAAATATAACTGAACAACAACAATGACAACTTGGACTTATATAATGCCCTCCACGCAGTGTAGCATCTCAGAGCGTTTCACAGTGGTGGAGCCTGACTCTGAGCTGGGGAGAGGTGGCTATAAGCCCGGTCACAGATGACGGTTTTCAGGCGGGACTTGAAAAAGGGGAGAGAGAGGTCAAGATGGAGGGATTGAAAGAGGGGGTCCAGAGTTTTGAGGCGTTGTGGCTGAAAGTGCAGCCTCCTATGGTGGAGCGGAGGGTGCGAGGGACAAGCAGGAGGATGGTGCCAGTCGAGCCGAGGCGCTGGGTGGTGGATTGGGAAGTGACGAGGTCGGAGAGGTAGGGAGGAGCCAGGGAGTGAATGGATTTGAACACGAGTGTGAGGATCTTGATGTCGAATAAAAAGTAATAAGTAAAAAGACAAAACCAAACAGGTTCTTACAGATATTCTTGGTGGCTTCTACTTTAATATCTTTCACACTATTACAGTTGGTGTGGAAGGTGATGTTCGCCTGTTCTCCGGGCTTCAGCTGCAACTCAGAGTTACACTTGGAAGAGTCTGGAGATGAACAAATGCAGGGCTGCTCGCTGCCTATGTCTGATTTCTGCTTAAATGTCACTGAAACATTTTCCATATCAAATTCATATCTCTCTGCGAAATTGTAAAAAAAAGAAAGCCTTTTAAACATTGTCAGCATATCACCACCGACTATCAGTTAGTAAAAACACAGCGTGGTGGCAAGGTTAAAACTTTATATACATAGCAGCTTCTACTCAAGAGGACATCTCAAAGCACTTCACAGGATTTACTTTTCAAAAAGTGGCCATGGGATCCATAACATCCACTTGAACGGGTAGACAGGACCTTGGTGTTAATACCTTACCCAAAGGACAAGACCTACAACAATGCAGTGGACCCCAGCATTGCATTGGAGTTTCAGCATAAATAATGCGAGCTCACAGAGGCGAGAATGCTATCAACTGAGCCAAGCTACCATGTAATAATTTAGTATTTATAAATCCTCCTTCAAGTAAAATAAAACATCTCAACCCCCTTTACAAAGTAGAATTATTAGAAATGAAAGTGAATACTGTTACATAAGCAAACCGGCACACAAGCTACTAAGTATTCTACTAAGTATCCTAGTACTTATTCTACTAAGTATCCTGGCAAACAATCTCCCAAATAAAATTGGTCACTCCATCCAAGGCTGTTTATGGGACATTGCTGTGCGCAACTGGCTGTCACATTTCACTGACAATTTCCACAGTCAATCAATTTCACAATATATCCTGTGAAGCACTTTGAGATGTCTCAACGACATGATAAGCCACTACATCAAATGCAAGGATTATTATTATGATGATTATTATTCACCTGGGGCGTTGGATAAAAGCTCAGCTTTAAATCGCAAAGTTAACACCTCATTCTTTGTTTTGTCCACCTCACAGTTCTGCACAGACACCACAGCATTCTTCCACAATTTCTTCATCTTTCCCATCACCGGTGGTCCAAAGTACACGTCAACAGTTCTTTTCACGCACTGGGGGTAAGTGTAATTCTCCAGAGTGACGTTTGCTTTGAAGTCATCGGGAAAGGTGAACTTCCAGGACATCAGCTCATCATCTGGAAAGCCCTGAGGCCAGTTGGGAGTCATGAAGTAGACGGGAGAACCTGGCTTGAGCAACACAGCCTCCACAATACAAAGCTCTGCAATGGAAAGAGAACATAGAGACCATTTGTGAGGATTTGTCTGCAGGCATTCCACCATCTTAAACTAATTGAAACACAAGCTCACAAGTCTACAATAACAACGACAACAGCTTGCATTTATATTGCACTCTTCACCACACAGGGTAGCATCGCAGAGCCTTTAACCATGGCGTAGATTGACGCTGAGCTGGGGAGAGAGGGGAGTGGACTCTAGGCATGGTCGAAGAGGAAAGCCGTCAAGTGCAATCTGAACATAGGCAAGAAGGAGGCAAGGTGCAGCGATCGAGGCAGGGAGTTCCTGAGGTTTGGGGCAGAGTAAGTGAAAGTGGAGGCAATGGTAATGGTGGCAATGGTGCAGTGGAGGGGTCGAGGGATATGCAGAAGGCCTGAGCTGGCTGAGCAAATGGGGCAGATAGAGGAGTGAAGTGTAAGCATGTTGGAGAGGTAGGAAGATGCTCAGTGATTTGTAGGTGAGTCTTGAAATTGATCCGTTCAAGTCTATTCCTCTCTCCAACGTGACTGAGGAGAGTGTGCCATACAGCCTGTGTTAACAAATGCACATTTGGACTAGCCTAGAAAAAAACATGGTCTTATTTGGAGATTCTTCAATTTCCCCAAAATAAAACATAACATAAACATGTGTGATGTACATAAAGTTGACCTGGCCGTATTGTGATTCCTGCATCAATGAGATAGGTTTCCTCACTCTCCCCATTCCCACTTACAAACTGTATACCTACATTTTGCCCACAAAATATAAAGTCAATTCACTTTACAGTATATTCTATGAAGCACCTTGAATCTTCTCAACGACGTGATAAGGCACTATATCAAATGCAAGGATTATTATTATTATTATTATTACCACACCCATACACATATGCCCTGTTAACAGTTACCCTTCCGTGGTCACATTGTAAGTCTTGGTTGTATCTGCTTTGTTATGTTTTAAAGTGTGTTTCACTGAACTCTGAATAGACAAAGCTATTAAACAGTGAATAGAATGAAGATAAACAGTTGTGCACAAGGAAAGAGGATGAACAGAGAGGACAGAATAGCCAGGCACGACTATGGGACTGAATGGCCTGTTGCAGTGCCGTAACAGTAATAAAAATAACAATTGTTGCATTTAATATAGTGCCTTATCATGTCATTGAGTTGACTTAAAGTGCTTCACAGAATATACAAAATTGACTGTATATTTTGTGGGTGAAATGCAGCAGCCAATTGAGCATAGCAGGGTCTCACAAATAATTGGGAACTGAGTGACCAAATTATTATTATTTATTTATTTTTAAGGGATTATTATCCACGGAAAGCGATCCGCCAATCAGCTAACGACCGGGTTATATAATATAATAATAATAATAATCCTTGCATTTGATATAGCGCTTTTCACGTCGGGAGGACGTCCCAAAGCGCTTCACAGAACACACTGTAAAGTGAATTGACTGTATATTTGTGGGCGAACGCGGCAGCCAATTGCGCACAGCAATGTCCCACAAACAGTCATATGGATTGAAAATGACCAATTTATTATTGTTTTCGGTTTTGGAGGGATTATTATTAGGCGTGTGGAGTAAGGAAACTTGCCCAAGGTTTCGCCCTGCTGGAATTGAACTCAGGTCTCTCACTTGCAAAGCGAGTGCGCTAACCACTAAGCTACAGGACTCCACAGAGTTCCTACTTACTGCTTACTTACTTACTGCTAGGTAAACAGAGGGGTGTGGAGTAAGGAACTTGAACACTACAGGTATCACTCAATGTAAGAATTGGGCCTGACTGTGATATTTTTCAAATAGTTTCACTTACTGTCAAGGCTCACACGTGACTAGTGGTTATTTAGAAGAGGTACAAGAGCACAACTGTGGAAACGCACCCCAGTTGCAGAAAAAAAATCATATTATTACAAAGCCAGGAAAGCATTGTGGTGCCACAACCAGCCATAGTGACCATGCACAAGAAAAATTAATGGGACCTTAATATCCCCGAAATAATTCATATTCTTTCTGGAGAGGAATCTAAATTGCTGAGCAGAACAAAAGCAAATCCATAAATTAGTTGGAGGAATTTCCACAATCTGACATTGCGCTGAACAATAACTAAGCTTTATACTGAGCTTGTCACACCAGTTATACGAGATCTACTTATAATGTTTTAGGTTACATGTGCATCATTCAAAGTGTACTAATAGCCTTGGTGTCACCCTGCTGGCATGCCACCAAACACTGACTGAAAACCACTTACTGGTTCCTCATCTTCTGGTTTTAGTCAATTCCCACCTTTTGGACACTGACACTTCACTACAATGCTAGATGTGTCTCATCCTTCAGATGAGACATTAAACTGAGGTCCCATCTGCCTGTTCAGATGGACATTAAAGATCCCATGGCACTATTCAAAAAAATAGCTATTCGCTTCATAGCTGTTTTTATGGGTTATTGCTGTGCACAAATTGGCTACCACATTCATCTACAAAATATCCACTTTACAGTATATCTTGTGAAGAGCTTTGAGATATCCCCTTGATGTGAAAGTCTGTGTAGCAAGTGCAAGGATTAAAATAACAATAATAATCTGTGCATTTGATATAGTGCCTTATCATGTCGTTGAGTCGTCTTAAGGTGCTTTACTGAATATACTGTAAGGTGAATTGACAGTGTATTTTGTGAAATGAAACACAGCAGCCAATTGTGCACAGCAGTGTCCCACAAATAGTCATGGATTGAGTGTCCAAATTATTATTATTATTATTATCTTTTGGAGGGATGATTACCCTCGGAAAGCAATCCACCAATCAACTAACAACCAGGTAAACCAGGTACTGCTAGATAAACAAAGGTATGAGGAGTAAGGAAACTTATCTAAGGATTCACCCCGCCCGGGAATCGAACCCGGATGCTCTTGCTTGTGAAGCGGGAGCACTAACCACTACGCAACAGGAATATTATTATATACTTGGATTACGGCCAATTTCTGAAGATAAGAGAGAGGGAAAGCAACTCCTGATCTCAGCAGCAGCACACATTCCAGAATCAAAAAACAGACAGCAAATTAAAAACAATCTGAAATTAATTATTTTTAACAAATTAATTTTGGTTAAGATTGAAACTTTTACCTACTTTTGATGGGTGGCAAGAAGGACAGGTTGAATCCTGCGTGATCAATCTCCTCAGTCCAGGGCACGTGAAGAACCAGCAGTGTTTTTCCCTGGATCTTCACTTTAGAGATGGTCCCATTCCTGCAAAAGTTCCCAATGTGGACATCCCTGAGACGCACGAAGCCTTTAATCGTGTAAGTGACCGAATCCAGACACACGTCAGAGTTCACCTGTGTCAGCCCGCCTCTGGGAAAGCTCATCTCCACACCAACGTTAATGGGGACATTAATGTCCCACGTATAGGTCCGGTTGAGCTTTGGCAACTCCGGAGGAAGAAGCTGGTAACCTTCAAGAGAGTCGTTACCTTCAACTGTAAAAGAAGCAGAAGACAATCAGTCTGAAGCTTTTGGGGATTTGTGCACTAACTGAGCAGAGAGATGTTGAGAAAATAAAGCCCTACCATTCTACTACCTTAAGCCAAACTCTTTCAAGCTGTACTATGTGACAATGTGACGAAGCAGCTCAAGGTTCTTAATGGAGTCGAGAAGCAGAGAAATCCAGGAGTCTGGATATGCAGGGCTTTAAAAGGTGGAAGTGCCAGCAAACAGGATCATTAAACAAGGAAATGGGATTCCTTGTCATTGAGAGGATATGGTGCAGATTTATTTGGATTATACCAGACTTGAGAGGTTATATTTACTCAGAGAAATGTAAAAAGTTGTGACTGTTATTTGCTGGAGAAGAGAATGGGGATGTTTAATAGGTTTTCAAGTCATGCATATTTTGGCAGTATAAATAGAACAGCAACAACAACTTGCACTTATATAGCACCCTCCACGCAGGGTAGCGCTTCAGCACGCTTAACAGTGGCGGAGCCTGACTCCAAGCCGGGGGAGTAGGGAGGTAGCTGTAAGCATGGTTGAACAGGAAAGTCTTCAAGGGACTTGAAAGAGGGGAGAAGGGGGCAAGGCAGCGGGATTGAGGGGGAGTATTCCAGAGTTTTTAGGTGTAGTGACTGAAAGTGTGTCCTCCGATGATTGGGTGCAGGGTGCAAGGGCGAGCAGCAGGCCGGTCCCAGTCGCGGGGGCGCCGGGTGGTGGTTTGGGGAGTGAGGAGGTCGGAGAGGTCGGGAGGTGCCAGGGATTGAATATGAATACGAGAGTGAGGATCTTGAAGTCGATCCACTGGGTAATGGGGAGCCAGTGGAGCTTTATAGAGATTATATCCACAGATTGGTGAGATAGTTACAAGAGGGAATAAACAGGATTATCACCAGAATAAAAATGGGCGGCCTGAAGATTTGTTTGCACAGGGAAAAAATTTCCGCTACCTCAAATAGCTGTTGAAGCTAAATCTATAATTACATTTAAAAAGCAATTGATTACATATTTGAGAAAGAAAATATATTAAAGAGAATATAGAACGATCAAGGGAATGGGATTGGAGAGCAACATTAGGGGAGCTTGTATCAACACAGACACAGTGGGCAAAGGCTTTCTTTCAGTGCTGTGAATAGAATCATAGACTCATAGACACACAGAATCATAGAATTATACAGCACAGAAGGAGGCCATTCGGTCCATCGTGTCTGTGCAAGCTCTTTGAAAGAGCTATCCAATTAGTCCCATTCTAACGCTCGATCCCCATAGCCTTGCAGCGTTTTTCTTTTCAAGTACCTATCCAATTCCCTTTTGAAAGTTATTATTGAATTTATTTCCACCACCCTTTCAGGCAGTGCATTCCAGACAGTAGAAACCCGCTGCATAAAAAAATTCTCCTCTCCGCATAGGTTCTTTTGCCCAGAGGGGAGCAAATCATTTTATAATGACACAAAGTGAAACATAGCACATTGTCATTTTATTCAAAGATGTCAGGATTATTATTATGATAAGAACCACAGTTCCACATCCTAAGAATCCTTTGTTTAAACAATTTCTCCTAACCTATCTCAGTGTTTCATAATTACCCTAAATCCAAAAATTCACTAATAAAATTTTCCAGCAATATCTTATTACAAAATATAGATCTCAAAATACAAATGCTGAACATTAATGTTACATGCAAAATAACTAGCTTTTTCTTTCCAAACACAATTATTGACCTGCCTAATTCTACATTCAAAGTCCAATGTCCAGATTTATATGTGAAGAATCATCAGAGTGAATATTGTGGAAGGATGAGATCATATAGGCCTTCTTCATCTGAAACTTTTTTGTGATTTGAGTAAGATCCCAGGAGAAAAGAGGTAGACTTTCAGAAGGAGTGGTGAGAACATGTGTTTATGTGTAGGGGAGATATGAAATTACAGTACAAATACAATACAAATTAACATTTGTATAAAACCTTTCAGATCGGAAGGATATTCCAAGACGCTTAAGAATAATGGCTTGGCGCCCAAGCTGAGGGTGGGAGGCAAAGGAGGTGGGGGACGGCAAAGGTGACCGAAAGCCCAACAAAGAGGGTCTTGAAACAGACCGTGAACAAGGGAGGGAGCGAGCCAGAGGGACTCCAGGTGGAGTTCCAGAGAGCAGGGAGAATTTAAAAATTTCAATCTCTAAGAAAATCCTTCGTTTAGCCAGAACCAATGGCACAAAACACAAAGCTAAAATTTGCCCTTACTTATTTTTCTTGAAATTTCCATGATGAACTGCTGTTCAGGATGGGGGCAGGTGAAGTTGAAGGCCAGGCTCTGCCGAGGATCGAGCTGATATTGCTGGTGACACCCTTTGGAGCTGCACATTGAGCAGCTGGAGCTCCCGCTGAGGACATGGATGAATCTGATAGTCACAGATTTTTCAGCAGTGACTGTGATCTTCTGTGAATCTGTTCAAGAAAACACAAAAAATAAGTCAACTAAGATTTTCCACAATACAATGTACACTACAATACAATCGCGATTTGACTTCTCCCATTCCCTCCCTTGTTTCCTCCCCATTCCTCCGCCCCCAAAGCCACATGTGAACGGCTGGAGTCTGCTGTCATTCAAGCGTAATTAGACTCCTCCCACCGCCATCCCATCGGTGAAGGCAGAAGGCACGAGTGAGTAAATGCAACAGCCACCAGCACGCCATTTTGTCAGAATTAACCGCCATATTTAAAACAGGTAAGAATACGAATGAAACGGGGCCGGGCGTTTTGCCTGATTTACCCAGCATCCGGGGTTAACCAGCGTCCGGCTAGAGCGGCTTCCACGGTATTTAAGGTAATGAAAGGAACCCACAGGTCCTTCGTCTTCGTAAAATGGTTGCCAAATCTTTGATCTACAAAAGGAACAGTCACTGTATGTGATAGTGATTACACAAAGTACTCCAGTGCAAACACTGCTTCACGTCCCACACCTGATCCCGTTCACCATCGTAGGTTAGCTATCAGTCAGAGAGCCCTGCTCCCTGGGTACTCCATCCTGGATTCCCTCCGCCTTGCTACTCCTTCAGCCACTTTCTCCATCTTCTCCTCAGATCCCTCTCCCCAGTTGTCTAGGTTTAGGCCTGCCCCGGAATCTCCAGGAATTAAAGGTTAATCTCTTGAATACTGATGCGAGCAACCCGGGAGAAAAATTCTTGGGACTTCAGAACATTACAGGGACTTTACAAACGCTTTACGACATTTACGACACTACCATAAAGTCAACGCTATTTCACTTAACGATAGCACCGTTCCTGCTGGAATATGTCCAACCAGAATTCCTCAACCTGCTCAGGCTCCCAGTTAATAATAATAATAATAATAATCCTTGCATTTGATATAGCGCTTTTCACGTCGGGAGGACGTCCCAAAGCGCTTCACAGACCATGTGATGAGCATCGAAGCAACCTCCTCAACAACAACAACTTGTATTTATATAGCACCCCTCAGGCAGGGTAGTGTCCCAGAGTGCTTAACAGTGGCGGTAGCCTGATGCCGAGCCAGCGGGAGCGCGGAGGTGACCATGGTCGGAGAGCAAAGTCTTCAGGCATGACCTGAAGATGGGGAAGGAGGAGGCAAGGCAGTGAGACAGAGGGAGAGTGTTCCAGAATTTGAAAGACATTTGATAAATGTAATTTATAAATGTAATTTATCAAATTTGATAAATGTAACATGTTGTTATAAAACTACATGCATTCCTTTGTGGCTTGACTGCAATATCTAGAGTCTTTTGAAATCCAAGCTGACATCATCAGATTTGTGTCTTGACCACATGTCCCACCTTCTCTCTTCCTCTATTCACATGTGGTGCAGCCCTTCACCTAGGTTACTTATTTTTTTTAATCTGGAGGAGGTACAATGCTAATTGGTTTGTTGCTGTGGTTTGTAGATTTAAAATATTTATTCTGTGAGCTATGTCAACAGTAACATTTCCAATAACATTTTGAAAGACACATTGGTCTCATGTCAAGATTGGGTTGCTGTCTCCACGAAATAGGAAAATATATTTTATGCAAAGAGTGGGAGGAACTTTATTCTATCTTGTACCTTGTCCGGGTTATTTATACCTGACCAAAGAGTTTTCAAGATAGAGAATAAACACAGGGAATGGAAGGTGATTCCGTTCGTCAGACTGAGCTACTTCACCAAGGCAACCAACAAAATGAAAATCCTAAATTACAATTTAGCCTAAAAGGGTCAAATCTTCTTTTCCCTGTCTAATTCCCCACCGGCCATCTCCTGAACTCCATTTATCCTCTAAATAAGAGTACTATTCCATGGATTACAGTTGCCTTTTGGTACCTCTCCCTATTATTATTATTCATGTTTGCGCCTCAACAGGGAGTGTGACCAGCTTATTACACATCAGCAGGCAATACAGCCAAACACAAACCCTCCCCTTGCCCGAAGTCCACAGATACCAATCTTTTTTTCTACTTTTGGGGATTTGGGTTTGAATCCAATAGAGCTGGCAGTGAATAATCCAGAAGATCTCTTTCATTAATTGTCAATTTTGCACATTTAATAGCACTCTCACCCCCTAGGGAAATGCTGTATTGTCGAAAGTGCAGTCCCTTGAATGAGATGTTAAAACTACAGTCCCGTCTGACTGTTTCGATGGATGATGAAAAATCACATTACACTATTTGAAAAGAGAAGGGTGTTCTTCCGCTGATTTGATCAACAATCCTCCGGATTAATTAGTCATTCGTCTCCTCTGTCTGTGGAATTAGCTGGGTGCAAGCTGACCGCGTGTTTACAACAACAACAAGATTACATTTCTATAGCGCTTTTCACATCGGGAGGACGTCCCAAGGCCCTGGACAGTGTACAGCATTTCAGACCTGAGTGAGGTCAGGGTAGGAGAAGGGAAGGGGGGTGACCGATGGTATGGTTGAAGAAGAGGGGGCGAGACTGAGTGACTGGGGGATGGAATTCCAGAGGTTGGGAGCAGAGTGGCTGAAGGCTCTCCCGCCAATGGTGGAGCGGGTAGGTCGGGGGATGTGGAGCAGGCCAGAGCCGGCTGAGCGGAGGGAGCGGGTGGGTTGGAGAGGGTTAGGAGGTCGCAGAGGTAGGATGGGGCACGGTCATGGAGGGCTTTGTAGGTGAGGACCAGGATCTTGAACTGGATCCTCTGAAGGATAGGGAGCCAATGGAGTTGGGGGACATGGGGTCACGGAGTTTAGTGCGGGAGAGGACACGGGCTGCAGAATTCTGGATTATCTGCAGCCTGTGAAGGGAGGAGTTGGGAAGGCCGACAAGCAGGTCGTATGCATAGTTGAGGCTGGAGGTGATGAAGGCATGAACAAGAGTTTCAGTGGCCTGAGGGGTGAGGTAATGGCGGATTCGGGCAATGTTACGGAGGTGTGGGAAGGCAGAACGGGTCATGGCTTGGATGTTGGGAAGAAAAGACAGTTGAGGGGCGAACAAGACACCGAGGTTCCTGACTGGCTGGTGAGTTGTAGTTTGCAACCATGGAGGTTGTTGCTGCCAGAGCCTGAGGTGCTGAGGCGCTGGCACGAGCCAACCAGGAGGGCCTCAGTCTTGTCCACATTCAACTGTAGGAAATTTGCCCTCATCCAGGACTTGATGTCCGACAGACAGTCTGTCAGGACAGCAGTGGTCCTGGAGTTGAGGGTAGAGGCAGAAAGATAAGAGTTGGGTGTCATCCGCATACATATGGAAGTTTAGCTACAAATACACAGTTACTACACTTGACAGCAAATACCTGTGAAGTAGTTTGAGACATTTAGATATTAAAAGAGGTACTTAAGTGAGAACTTAGACAGTGATGATTGGCAGTGCTATTGATACAAGTTGGTTTATAGAATTGGCGGGCGCTGTTCCGGCTGCTTCTCTCTTATTTTGATTAGTAAATTGGGTTGGGTGCAGAGTTTGGATCTGGGCCCAAACTACCTAATCATTCCCGCTTCTCGCTACAAGGAGAACAATGAGTAACATTAATCCAAAACTCCACCTCCTGTATCCTCACCCCCACCAGGCTCTGCACAGCATCACACCAATCCACACCGGCTCCACTGGCTCTCTGTCTATGAACGGATTGACTTCAAGGCTTCATCGTTATATATTGATTAATCGCTTCATGTCCTAGCATCTACTTATCTTACCCAACTCTTCTGCTCGCTTCCTCCACTCAGCTAACACTAGTTTGTTGCACATCCCATGCCCCCTCCATACTACTGTAACCTCTGAAACTCCATGTCCCTACTCCTCTGTCTCGATCCCTTTCTATTTTTAAATCCCGCTTTAGAATCTATCTGTCTGACAGCGCCAACGTTCACCACCCCCTTCTTCTTTGCTCGGCGTACAAGCTCGCCAATGTGAAGTACTCCGAGACATTATCCTATGTGACGGGTGCTATAAAACTGCACAGAGCTCAGTGTTACTGTCAGCAAGGCAGTGGCACTCTTGAGAGCGGCTCTGTCTCTGTACTGATGGGTACTAAAACCCAAAGAAAATCAAAGAATGTTACAGTACAGAAACAGGCTACCCGGATCATCGAGCACATGCTGGTTGTTTCTCCACACAAACCAATCTGATCCCATTATCCTGCTCAACTCCCTCACCCCATCCCCAAAACCCTTCTATAGCCTCTTTATCAACCATCTTCAATTATTGATCTCAAATCATCAATCTTAAGACTATCACCTTAAGTCATTAATTCAACGAATCTTGAATCGTTAATCTATAATCTTCCAGAGATAATAACCTCTATTACAACACATTGGAATGAATAGGATGGGGAAAATCATCCTTGCATGTGGCAGAGCGTCTTATAAATATTGTCAAAGCGCTTCACAGGATTTACTGTGAAATGAAGTGACTGTAATTATAGGCAAACACAGCAGCAAAGTTATGCACAGCAAAGCCCCACAAACAACCATGAAACGAATGACCAATTTTATTTGGGAGATTTGGGGCATCGGGACAACTCCCTTCTCTTTTTGAATAGTGCCACGGGATCTTTAACGTCCACCTGAACAGGCAGATGCGACCTCGGTTTAATGTCTCATCCAAAAGACGGCACTTCCGACAATGCAACAACAACAATAAAATTACATTTGTAAAGCGCCTTTCACGTCGGGAGGACGTCCCAAGGCGCTGAACAGTTGGGGATCAAGCGCGGGTGCAGGTTTGGGATGAGGGAGGGTACAGAGGAAGGAGGGCAGCTGCACACCCCCAGCACAGCTTTGGAGTGTCCTGGACAACGTGAGTTCAAGTGCTGATTTGCGATTTGAACCCAGAACCTTCTGATACAGAGGCGAGAGTGTTACCACTGAGTCAAACTGACACATTGAAGCCACAGCAGACAAAACATTCAGAAGCAAATACTTCTTATTGTAGCTATTAACACTCATCACTGGAGTGATGCCAGAACTCACACCTCACCTCTAGTCTTTTATTCAAAAGCCTCTTTAGTTCCAATAATGTGTGGAGGCTGGATCTCAATGCTGGCAGCTTAGTTTGATCCCATCAGAGATGAGTTTAAATAAAATTGATAATTTTATTTCTAAACAGTTTTTAAAAAAATTATACACTTTTGTGCAACCGTATGCATATTACTATAACCATTTACATTTATATAACGCAAGTGCTTCACACAACTGACTAGGAGCCTAAACTGGGTGAGGTGACCAAAAGCATGGTCAACAGATAGTTTTTAAGATGCGACTGAGCCTCGAAATTATTTCAACCATTTGGTATAATAATAGTAATCCTAGCATTTAATATAACATAACTTTGAAATATCTCAAAGTGCTTCACGGGGAATTCCAATCAACTGGTCAAGTGTAGTGATTATTTGTCAGCAGCTTCAGCAGCCAATATGCACACAGCAATATTCCACGGACAGCCTTGAAGTGAACAAGCAATCTTATTTGGAGCATAGATGGACAGGACATCAAGAGAAACGTGCTTCTCTTTTCAAATGGCATCACAATAACGTCTACTTGGTCACGACAGGCAGATGGGACCTCATCTCACCTGAAGAAAGATACCAATGCAGTATTCCCCAATACTGCACTGAAGTATCAGTCTAAACTATAAGCTCAAAGTACCAAAGTGGGCCTTGAACACACAACCTTCTTAGACAGAGATAAGAGTGCTACCAATTGCGCCAACCTAAATGATCCAATCTAAACTTGATCAGGTCGAGACGATCATCAAGGACCATTAGATTGCCACAGAAAAGAGGGACTGATGCACCTGTACAGAAAAAGACTGGAACTAGTTTCTTTAGGGAAGTAAATGGACTGACAAGACAGGAAGATATTGTACCTCTTTGAATATGCATGTACCACTTTGAATATCCATGGAAAAAAATTGTATGAATATTTCCTACAGCTATAGATTTATCAAAAAGATTTGCGCAATAATATCAGAATATAACAAGAATGATGTCATGTCTGGGTTACTAAATTGTGAAAGTAAAAACAAATGTGGTCGTGTCATGGTATATCATGCTGAGAGGAAGTCACAGTGGTGGGAGCCATCCATGGAAAGTTAATAATCCTCACTTTTGATATAGCCCCTTATCATGACGTCGTTGAAACATCTCAAAGCACTTCACAGGACTTACTGCAAAACGAATGACTGGATGTATTTTGTGGGCAAAGTGATGTGAGTATACTGCCAATCACATCTCATGCTACTAATTCTTTTGCTCTCACATTTTAAATCTCAAATGGACTTGACTTAGAAATAAACAGACACCTCAGGTTTCAAGATACAGCCTGCCAACAAATTAATCAGTTTCAAAAAAGTAATTTCAAAAGTTAACAGGGAACTACAGTGGAATCAAAAACAACGTCAACTGGTTTTATGTGTTTGAAGTGAAAAATAGTTATTGGAATTGGAAACTGTACACTTGGATAAATAGCTCTGCAAAAAGGGTTTTAAATCAGTAAGGGGAGGTGGGGGCTCAGGTAGACATAAACATAAATTAAAGATAATAAGAAGGGATAAGAGCAAAAGTCAGAGTACAAAAAGTGATAAAGAAAACATAAATATTCTGAGAAGAAAAAGGGTTATAGAAAGTAAACAAAAAAAGAGTCAAGACCAAAAGTATGAGAAAAACGTCAGGGAATATGGACAGGGTGAGGTCAGTTACCCCAATTAGTGTTCTGTACACGAATACAGCTAGCTTAAGAAATAAAACAAGTGAGTTACAAGCACACATTCAATTTAAAGGTTATGATGTAGTAGCCATTACAAAGACCTGGCTACAAGCAGAGCTTGACTGGGAGCTAAATATTCCAGGCTATAAGATCTTTAGAAAGGACAAGGAAATTGGGAAAGGAGGAGGTGTATCAATATTGATAAAAGACACAATTACAGCAGTAGAAAGAAAGGATTTCAGTAAGGGTGATCATCCGTGGAAACACTTTGGGTAGAATTAAGGAACAGCAAAGGAGGCAAGACTCTGATGGGAGTTAGCTACAGACCTCCAGATAGAAGTGATGTAGTGGAGGGGATGTATAAATACAGAGATCAGGGAAGCATGCAGCAAAAGCAATGTGGTTGTAATGGGAGATTCTAATTTTCACATAGATTGGTAGAAGCAGAATAGCTCAAGTAGGCAAGGCAACACATTTCTAGAATGTATTCAGGACAGTTTTCTGGAACAATATGTTGTAGAACCGAAAAGGGAACATGTCATACTTGATTTGGTGATGAGTAAGAAAGCGGAAATAGTTAACAAACTGAGGGTAAGGAAACATCTTGCAAATAGTGGCCACAATATGATTGGGTTTGATATAAGGTTTGAGAGGGATAAGGGAGAGTCGCAATCCAAGATTCTAAATTTAAGCAAAGCAAACTTCGAAGGGATGAGAAATGAAGTATTCAAAGAAAAATTGGTACAATACAAAACCAGTACATACCCCTAAAACATTTGTGTAGTTCAACAATCATGGTGGGCAAATGAGGTAAGAGGCAGCATCAAACTAACAGAAAAGGCTTACACAAATGCAAGAAAAAGTGGAAATCCAACAGACTGGGTGTTTTATAAAAAACAACAAAGAGATACAAAAAGTTATAAGAGGTGCAAAAAGGGAATATGAGAAAAAACTTGCAAGGGATATCAAGAGCGACAGTAATTTTTTAATAAATATATTAAGAGAGAGTGGTAAAGGGAAATGTGGGCCCATTAAAGACAGATGTAGGTGAGACTATAGTGGATAATAAGGAAATGGCAGGCTTGTTGAATTAATATTTTGCTTCCGTTTTCACAGTAGAGGAAACTTAAAAATAAACCAAAGAGAAGTACTAAATGGATTTAGTATAAAAAAAAGGTAATGGAGAAAATAATGGGACTAATGATAGACAAATCTCCAGGACCTGATAGATTCCACCCTAGGGTATAAAAAGAAGTAGGGGAGGAAATTGTAGATGCATTAGTCATAATTTTCCAAAGCTCTCTCTTTGGGGATTGTGCCCTTGGATTGGAGAATTGCAAATGTCACTCCATTATTTAAGAAGAGAGGAAGAGAGAAACCAGGTAACTGCAGACCTGTCAACTTAAGTTGTGGGGAAGTTACTGGAATCTCTCACCAGGGACAGAGTGACTGAGCACTTGGACAAATATGAGCTAATCAAAGAGAGTCAGCATGGATTTGTGAAAGATAAGTCATGTCTGATGAATCTAATTACATTTTTTGAAGAGGTCACTAACATAGAGGTGAAGAGAGTGTCTATGGAAGTCGTCTACATGGATTTCCAGAAGGCGTTTGATAAAGTTCCACACAAGGGGTTATTAGCAAAAATAAAAGCGCATGGAATCAGAGGTAACCTTGCAATGTGACTTGGTAATTGGTTGTGAGGCAGGAAACAAAGAGTAGGGGTAGGGGGAACGTTCCCTGATTAGTAGGACATGACAAGCGGTGTCACTTGGCTGAGATATCAGAGGCTATCTGTCTTCAGGAAGGTGAAGGAATGGGAGAATTGCTACAAAGGTAATTATCAACTGGAGCAGGTCACCAGGAAGGGTGGTTGAGGCCAGGATTTTGGGTTCACTTAAGAAACAGCATGATGCTATTAATGAATGGTCGGTAGTTTGAGTATTCTAGAAAGTTGAGATCAAATGGCTCAAAAGGCTTCATCTAAACTAATCTTGTGTTGTCTAGAACACTTGCATAACGTGTTATGGACTGCTTCTCCAT